AGCTCTTATAAAGCTCTTCTGTATACAGTCAGCTCTTATGAAGCTCCTTTGTATACAGACAGCTCTTATAAAGCTCTTCTGTATACAGTCAGCTCTTATAAAGCTCCTCTGTATACAGGAAGCTCTTATAAAGCTCCCCTGTAATACAGACATGCTCTTATAAAGCTCCTCTGTATACAGACAGCTCTATATAAAGCTCTTCTGTATACAGTCAGCTCTTATAAACTCTTCTGTATTCATAGTCAGCTCTATATAAGCTCCTCTGTATACAGTCACTCTTATAAAGCTCTTCTGTATACAGTCAGCTCTTATAAAGCTCCTCTGTATACAGTCATGCTCTTATAAGCTCCTCTGTAACAGACAGCTCTTATAAATGCTCTTCTGTATAGCAGCTCATATAAAGCTCCTCTGTATACAGTCAGCTCTTATAAAGCTCCTCTGTATACAGTCAGCTCTTATAAAGCTCTTCTGTATACAGTCAGCTCTTATAAGCTCCTCTGTATACAGTCAGCTCTTATAAAGCTTCCTCTGTATTACAGTCAGCTCTTATAAAGCTCCTCTATATACACTCGCTCTTACAAAAGCCATCTGTTGTATAGAGGAACCTTATAAGAGAACTGGCTACATAGATATATATATAAGATATAATATAATATTATATATATATATATTATATATATATATATATATATATATATAATATATTATATATATTATATATATATATATATATATATATATATATATATATATAGTAGGTTGGTAGACAGCAACCACCCAGGGAGGTACTACCGTCCTGCCAAGTGAGTGTAAAACGAGAGCCTGTAATTGTTTTACATGATGGTAGGATTGCTGGTGTCTTTTGTCTGTCTCATAAATATGCAAGATTACAGGTACGTCTTGCTACTTCTACTTACACTTAGGTCACACTACACATCATGTACATGTTTATTTTTACACACTCATCTAAGTTTTCTTTGATTTTATCTTAATAGTTCTTGGTCTTATTACTTTTCCTTTTATATCCATGGGGAAGTGGAATAAGAATCTTTCCTCCATAAGCCATGCGTGTTGTAAAAGTCAACTAAAATGCCAGGAACAGTGGGCTAGTAACTCCTTTTCCTGTACAAATTACTAAAAAAGAAGAAAATTGTCAAAGTGGGAAGTCTGAATGTGCGTGGATGTTGTGCGAATGATAAAAAAAGAGATGATTGTGGATGCTATGAAGGATAAGCTATGGCAGGAAAAGAGGGAGTATAAATGTATTAATTCAAGGATTATGTGGAGTAAAATAAAGGTTGGATGTGAAAAGTGGGTTATAGTAAGTGTATATGCACCTGGAGAAGAGAGAAGTGTAGAGGAGAGAGGTTTTGGGAATTGTTGAGTGAGTGTGTGGGAAGTTTTGAACTAAGTGTGAGAGTACTTGTGGTTGGGGATTTCAATGCTAAAGTCGGTAAAAATGTTGTGGAGGGAGTAGTAGGTAAATTTGGGGTGCCAGGGGTAAATGAAAATGGGGAGCCTTTAATTGAGCTATGTGTAGAAAGAGGTTTGGTAATAAGTAATACATATTTTATGAAAAAGAGGATAAATATACAAGGTATGATATAGCACGTAACGAAAGTAGTTTGTTAGATTATATAGTGGTGGATAAAAGGTTGATGGGTAGGCTTCAGGATGTACATGTTTATAGAGGGGGCAACTGATATATCAGATCATTATTTAATTGTAGCTACAGTTAGAGTAAAAGGTAGATGGGACAAGAGGAAGGTGGCAACAACAAGTAAGAGAGAGAGGTGAAAGTGTATAAACTAAGGAAGGAAGAAGTTTGGGCGAGACATAAGCAACCATTAGCAGAAAGGTGGGCTAGTGCAAGTATGAGTAGTGGGGGAGGGGGTTTGAAGAGGGTTGGAATAGTTTTAAAAATGCAGTATTAGAATGTGGGGCAGAAGTTTGTGGTTATAGGAGGGTGGGGTCAGGAGGAAAGAGGAGTGATTGGTGGAATGATGAAGTAAAGTGTGTGATAAAAGAGAAAAAGGTAGTTTATGAGAGGTTTTTGCAAAGCAGAAGTGTTATAAGAAGAACAGAGTACTATATGGAGAGTAAAAGAAAGGTGAAGAGAGTGGTGAGAGAGTGCAAAAGGAGAGCAGGTGATAGTGGGAGAGGCACTGTCAAGAAGTTTTGATGAAAATAAGAAAAAATTTTGGAGTGAGATAAACAAGTTAAGAAAGCCTAGGGAATGAATGGATTTGTCAGTTAAAAACAAAGTAGGGGAGTTAGATGGGGAGATGGAGGTATTGGGTAGATGGTGGGAATATTTTGAGGAACTTTTAAATGTCAACAAAGAAAGGGAGGCAGTAATTTCATGCACTGGCCAGGGAGGTACACCATCTTTTAGGAGTGAAGAAGAGCATGATGTGAGAGTGGGGGAGGTGCGCAAGGCATTACGTAGAATGAAAGAGGGTAAAGCAGCTGGAACTGACGGGATCATGACAGAAATGTTAAAAGCAGGGGGGATATAGTGTTGGAGTGGTTGGTATTTTTCTTTAATAAATGTATGAAAGAGGGGAAGGTACCTAGGGATTGGCAGAGACCATGTATAATTCCTTTATATAAAGGGAAGGGGGACAAAAGAGATTGTAAAAATTATAGAGGAATAAGTTTACTGAGTATACCAGGAAAAGTGTATGGTAGGGTTGTTTATAATTTATAATTTATAATTTATAATTTGTTATTGAAAGAATTAAGAGGCAAGACAGAATGTAGGATTGTGGATGAGCAAGGAGGTTTCAGAGTGGGTAGGGGATGTGTAGATGAAGTGTTTACATTGAAGCATATATGTGAACAGTATTTGGATAAAGGTAGGGAAGTTTACATTGCATTTATGGATTTAGAAAAGGCATATGATAAGAGTGGATAGGGGAGCAATGTGGCAGATGTTGCAAGTACATGTATATGGAATAGGTAGTAAGTTACTAAATGCTGTAAAGAGTTTTTATGAGGATAGTGAGGCTCAGGTTAGGGTGTGTAGAAGAGAGGGAGACTACTTCCCGGTAAAAGTAGGTCTTAGACAAGGATGTGTAATGTCACCATGGTTGTTTAATATATTTATAGATGGGGTTGTAAAAGAAGTAAATGCTAGGGTGTTCGGGAGAGGGATGGGATTAAATTATGGGGAATCAAACACAGAATGGGAATTGACACAGTTATTTTCTGTTGATGATACTGTGCTTATGGGAGATTGTAAAGAAAAGTTGCAAAGGTTAGTGGACAAGTTTGGGAGTGTGTGTAAAGGTAGAAAGTTGAAAGTGAACATAGAAAAGAGTAAGATGATGAGGGTATCAAATGATTTAGATGAAGAAAAACTGGATATCAAATTGGAGAGGAGTAGTATGGAAGAAGTGAATGTTTTCAGATATTTGGGAGTTGACGTGTCAGTGGATGGATGCATTAAGGATGAGGTTATCCATAGAATTGATGAAGGAAAAAAGTTGAGTGGTGCGTTGATGTATATGTAGAGACAAAAAACATTATCTATGGAGGCAAAGAAGGGAATGTATGAAAATATAGTGGTACCAACACTCTTATATTGATGTGAAGCTTGGGTGGTAAATGCTGCAATGAGAAGGCAGTTGGAGGCAGTGATGTCCTGTCTAAGGGCAATGTGTGGTGTAAATATTATGCAGAGAATTCGGAGTGTGGAAATTAGGAGAAGGTGTGGAGGTAATAAAAGTATTAGAGGGCTGAAGAAGGGTTGTTGAGGTGGTTTGGTCATTTAGAGAGAATGGATCAAAGTAGAATGACATGGAGAGCATGTAAATCTGTAGGGGAAGGAAGGTGGGGTAGGGGTCATCCTCAAAAAGGTTGGAGGGAGGGGTAAAATATTTCTAGTCTTAATGTAGGGTAAGAGGTGAGTAAACGAGATTAAACAAATAAATGAGAGAGAGAGAGAGAATGAGTACATGAGAGAGGACAGCGTGAGTTATGTAAACAAACCAGCCAGACACGTATGGTTTTAGTTCACTCCGCAAGCCGACTAGAAAAAAATCTCATATTCATGTTAACTTATTCTTCTGTGGGTATATTTATCATGCTTATATGTTACATAGCATGTTTATTATATAAATTTGAAAAAAATATCATAGATGGATTAAGCAAAATGTCTATATTAATGTTTTGTACGATATTTAATGCGCCTCACTCTGACTTTTTTGGGTTATCCTGGGTTCCCTACACATGTGCTGCTATGTATGATAAGCTATGTAACTGTATTTGTGTATACCTGAATAAACTTACTTACTCAGTGATTATTATTATAAATTATTATTATTAAAAGTTATTAATATTACAAATTATTATAATCATAATAAAAAAGAAGTGCTAAACCCACAAGGGTCATGAATAGCTATAGATAAAGACATACAAAAGGAATATTTTTCTACAGTTAAGTAACTGGTGTTTGACTAGAGAAAACGTAATTCTTCCGACACTTCTACCATAGCTGGATTAATGAAAATGTCTATTAATGTATTATACGACATTTAATGTGCCCAAGAGATTATTATATGGTGTTGAGTAGAGACTCTTAGTGATTTTAATGTGTACCTGCATGCCAGCACAATGTGTAAGTATATTTAGGTACAGGTACACAAGTATACGGAATTATCGGAGTACACTGTATATATAAAATATGAAATAACTTTAAAACACTTGAAATTTTGGAAAATTTCCAGACATAATAGATGTGCTCACAGAGAATGTAAACAAACTGGGTGGGGCGTGCCGTATTTGAAAGACCACTTGCCGTATAGCAAATTTGGGTCATAATTTGAAATCGCCGTGTTAGCGGAATGCCATAAGGTGAAATGCCATAAAGTGGGGCCCTACTGTATATGTATATAGAGGAGGTCTGTATGAGATAACTGTAAACAGAGGAACTTTATAAGAGAGCTGAGAGTGTCTACAGATGTTAGTATCCACAGGATAATTGTATGTCACTACAGGAGCACTGGAGGAACTGTATCAGTCACAGTCCGGGGACGAAGATGGTGTGTCAGAGTGCTCGGAAATAATTGAACAGCCACCACGGGCTGTCTTACTGGCTTGTAGGCCTGCGCCGCCCCGACCCACACCCTCCCGCCCACCGCCCCCCCGGCCCACACCACCCAGCTCGGCCCCTAGCTCACCTGCCCCACAGCGGGCTCAGCCACAGGGGCCCAAGGTATGTGTATGATTTGATTTACCTGAAATAACAAAGAATTGCCAATTTGCAAGTAAAAGTTATTCAAAATTTAATTTTGAGGTTAAAATTTTTATGATTTTTGTTGTGAGATTTTAAATTTTTTACAATTTTAGTTGGTAAGAATTTTTTTAAATTTTTGTTGATTAGAATTTTTTTACAGTTTTGACTGAGAGAAGATTTTTTATATTATTTTTGTTCCTTAGAATTTTTAAATGAATTTTGTTGAGAAATTAAAATTTTACTATTTTTCTTGATTATATTTTTTTTACAATCTTTGTTGTATTTTTTATTATTATAATCAAAAAGAAGTGCTAAGCCACAAGGGCTATACAGCTCTGCTATTTTTTAAATTTATTATGTATATTTAATTATTTTTTTTTTTTTTTTTTTTTTTTTTTTTTTTTTTTTTTTTTTTTTTTTTTTTTTTTTTTTTTTTTTTTTAGCACACTGGCCGATTCCCACCAAGGCAGGGTGGCCCGAAAAAGAAAAACTTTCACCATCATTCACTCCATCACTGTCTTGCCAGAAGGGTGCTTTACACTAAAGTTTTTAAACTGCAACATTAACACCCCTCCTTCAGAGTGCAGGCACTGTACTTCCCATCTCCAGGACTCAAGTCCGGCCTGCCGGTTTCCCTGAACCCCTTCATAAATGTTACTTTGCTCACACTCCAACAGCACGTCAAGTATTAAAAACCATTTGTCTCCATTCACTCCTATCAAACATGCTCACGCATGCCCGCTGGAAGTCCAAGCCCCTCGCACACAAAACCTCCTTTACCCCCTCCCTCCAACCTTTCCTAGGCCGACCCCTACCCCGCCTTCCTTCCACTACAGACTGATACACTCTTGAAGTTATTCTGTTTCGCTCCATTCTTGTTTATCTCACTCCAAAATTTTTTCTTATTTTCATCAAAATTTCTTGACAGTGCCTCTCCCACTCTATCATCTGCTCTCCTTTTACACTCTCTCACCACTCTCTTCACCTTTCTTTTACTCTCCATATACTCTGCTCTTCTTATAACACTTCTGCTTTGTAAAAAACCTCTTTTAAGCTACCTTTTTCTCTTTTATCACACCCTTGACTTCATTCCACCAATCACTCCTCTTTCCTCCTCCACCCACCCTCCTGTAGCCACAAACTTCTGCTCCACATTCTAATACTGCATTTTTAAAACTATTCATATACATGTATATGTGAAAAAATAGCTATTTGTGAAAAAGTTGTTTGTGAAAAATGCAGTAATGTGGAGTTAACCTGTCGGAAAAATTGGGTTAGGTTCTATTCGACCCCCAGAAATATTAAACCACTTTTCTTATAAATGCATAATTCATTTAAAATAATAAATTATTGTTCCATGATTTTAAAAGGTAAATGTTATAGGTATATAAAAGAATGTTATTACATTATGATAAAGGATGATTCAACATAGCATAACTTAATAGTCATGCAATGGAATAAACTTAAATTGTCAATTAGGTTGTTTAAGTGGTTTGATGTCAGTGGAGAGGCGTGGTGTGGCATTACTGGGCCTCAGATGAAGTGGATGGCTGGGGTTCACTGGTTTAAGTGGATTGCCAATATTTTCAAAGCTGAGTTGTAGGCAGTTTCATGTTTATCAAACATATAGCATTAATACCTACCTCGTCATGTGTAACAGTTCCAGATTCCTATAGAGCGTTGCAGGCTATCCAGAAATTTGGTTCCCCTCATCCCATCCTCCTACATATACAGTTTCTGGTTTTATTGCATTTCTAGTAAGTACCAAGATGCCATTATCTACTGGGTCCCTGGACATGCTGATGTTCTGGGTAAGGACCAGGCAGACTCCACTGCTTGGTCAGCAATACATTACCTAATTTCATACAAGGGTGTTCCTCTCTCACACTATTTTGAAGTAATCTCTGAACAACTTTGCAGCCATGGACAATGATAGTGGTCTGAGCTGATGTCAATAAATTGCATTGTAGCAGTCTGTGTTTGGGTTTCTGGTCACCTTTTTACCATTGCTGTTGTGTTTGGGAGACTTCACTCACCTATGTATGGGACGCACATTTCACTCATGAGTGTCTTATGGGAAAGCACTCAGTGCCACTGAGAGGATTGCCAAATTGTGTAGTTGGTTCACCATCTATCAGTGGGCAGTAGAATTCACTTCCAGTATCTCCACTGCCCTTACGCACTGACTCTACCTGACCTCACTGAAAGTCTAACCTTTGATGCTAATTTCCTCTTGACTTTTTAACAGAAACTTATTACTCCAACTTCGATTACATTTTACCTGTAGCACTCTCCATTACCCTTACTAAACCTGCCTCTTGCACACACATACCCCATGCTAGCCTCTGACATTTGCATATTCCTTCTTTAGCATAGCCCACCCTGAAGCGCATTATGGCCCTTTTGGGTTTAGCAGTTAGTTTGATTATATTATTATTATTATCACTGTTTCTTTGAAGTGATTATTGTTACTTTTCTCAAAGTTATTGCTTCTTTTTCCAGGTAAAGGTTATCACTAAGCCAGTTCGACCAGCACAGTTGTTAACTCGGGTAACCAGCACTCCAGCGTCACAAACTAACACTATCATTGATCAAGTCACAAGCATACCTGAGAAGCCAACACAGTCCTCGACACAGTCCTCAACACAGTCCTCGACACAGCCCTCATGGCCGGTCGTACCACCTCGTATGCCCTCTCAGGAGAGCCCCACTGAGACGCCACCCTCAGCTGAAGCTCCTGCTTTCTCCAGTTCCTTGTTTGGTGTACCCCCATCTGTGCCAGCCAGTGTCCCAGCTGTAAGCAACGAGAAGCCTTTTGTGTCACCATTTGGCGCACCCCCTCCTCTACCAGACAACTGTCCACCGGAATGGTCTGACTCAACCAATGAAAAGCCTCACCCTTCACCACCTGTTGTTCAACCTCCACTACCATCGAACATCCCATCCACCACTACCCTACCTACCAGAGAACAGTTCAGTGGTCCACCACTTGGTCCACCACCCTCTTTACCACCCACCGGACCACCACCACCTCTACCAACCAACGGCCCACTTCCACCAAAAGACCTTCCACCGAACATCCCCACCCGTTCACTGCCTCCAGTACCGAGTAGAACTGGCCCACCTCCAGTACCTTCCAGATCCATTCCCCCAGTTCCTGCTCGTAACCTTCCTCCAGTACCTCCTAGGAAGTAAATTGTGTAATTACTTTCAACGACCTAGTCACAAAGTTGTACCTACAGGTGATATATTTAGACTAATGTAACTATTGTAATTGCGGTAATTAACTCGTGTAATAAAGGTAATTAACTCGTAATTAACCTGTTGATATTTATTAAATTTGGTTAAGTATTTTTCTGTTGTATTTTTTATAAATTATTAGAAATAATTATTTTTGTTAATGGTTCTGGTTATTAGTGAAGATTGTATATATACCAGGAAGTGTATATCTGTATATACGCTGAGAGGTTTGCATATCTTAGTGTATATGTGCTCAAAGGTTGGGTATCTGTATATACACACCAAGAGGTGTATATTTGTGTATATACACTGAAATGTGTATATGTTGGTGCTTCTAAACCAAAAAGGGTTTATTGTTATGTATATACATTTGAGAAGTGTATCCCAGTGTATACACACTGAGAGAGGTGGGTATCTTGAGTATATACACCAAGAGGTGCATATCAGTGTATATACTGAGAGGTGTATGAATATTTACATCTCAGTATACATAAACTGAGAGGGGGTATAACTCAGTATACAAATCTATATAACCTGTGTCATTACAAGGGATCCCACCTGCCACCTCAGTGTAAACCTGCACACAGGTCGCAATGTGGCAGACCTGCACGCAGGTTGCAATGTGGCAGACCTGCACACAGGTTGCAACGTGGCAGGCCTGCACACAGGTCACAACATGGCAGACCTGCATGCAGGTTGCAACATGGCAGACCTGCACACAGGTTGCAACATGGCAGGCCTCCACACAGGTCACAACATGGCAGACCTGCATGCAGGTTGCAACCTTGCTGACCTGTATGCAAGTCATACTGTAAACATTAATATATAACTTCTACCTAAAATTTTGCCTCTAAATATGTCAGCCTGAATATTTCTTTGTCACAGACAATAAAATGTCCAGGCAGGTGAAACCTTCTAATTTTACAAATAAACGTCTTAAGAGGAAGACGAGTACCTTAACGTGTAGAAATAACTCGGTAATGATCTTAATACAATTTACAGTGATCTTAATACTCAAGTAATAGATCAGTTAAGTGTGTTTACATGTTATAGTTAGTGACATGACTTTATCTACTCTGACATGTATGGTAGATGTGTTTAAAATAAGCAGTCACTTTTTTTAAATCTTTTATATATGATGGAATTTTTTGTGAGTGCAATTAAAAAAAATTTTGATAATTGAATAGCAAGCACTGTGGAGGCCTTTCCATATGCTGTTCAGTTTTGGATGAACTTTTTCAATTGCATTAGCAAGAAATTTCACTGTGCTGTGAAGCTTTATAAGAGAGCTGGCTGTAGAAATAAGTTGCACATCATCTGAATATCCATGACTTGCTAAATATCCTGTCCAAGATGGAAACAGTAGTCGACACCTTGACCAACCAGAACAAACATGGAACAGCAGTAGTGACTGTCAAACACTACAGTCATCATATGAGGTCTCAGTACCACAGCCAAGTTCCAGTTACAAGGCTAGGCAGCGTAATTCCCATGATTCTCGACTGTTATAGTACACGAACAACCTACAGCACTAATTCCCATGAGTCTTGACTGTAATAGTAAACAGATAATCAACAGGAACATCTTGCAACACTCTAATTGCCATGAGTCTTGACTGTAATAGTACACAGATAAGCAACAGAAAAACCCGCTGTAGCACTGTAAATACAGTCAAGAACATCCTAAAACTGATGATAGTGAGGTTGACCCACGAGAGGACATAGAAAAACCATACCTGAGCACTCAGAAGTGAAAGAAAGAAACAGCCAAGCACAGCAGTGCCACAGCCACACTTCACAAGGTATGAGGTATGACAGTTAACTCTTACTCCCAGTGTAGGTGAGCACTACACAACAAATACCACTTACGTGCACCCAGTAAATGCAGAGGTAATAAGCCTGAAACAATACAGGTAACAAATGAATACATTGAGGCAGTTAAGGAGGTCATGCCCCCTCCAGGTCATGAGCATGGGAATAGTGACATAAGTGTGGGAACAATAACATTATATACTTGAGAGATGTATATCACTGTGTTTATACTGGGAGGTATACAGTGCTAATTGCATATACACTGGTAGTTTACATTAATTACTGTTTTAGGTATTAAAGTAGATTGGTGATGTACGGGTGACATGCAGCCTTAATGACCCTCGTGTAGTAGATAAACTTGAAAACCTAATTAACCAACCAACTAGCCTTAATGACCCACAGTAGCATGCTTGCAACAGTTCACAACCAATCCACAATACTGTGGCTGGAACAATTCACAACCCACAATGCTGAGGCTCAAACAATTAACAACTAGCCCACCTGCAACACAGCTTGTTTGTAAGTTGAAACACCTACAACACAACTTGTTTGCAAGTTTGAACACCTGCAACACAACTTGTTTGTAAGTTGAAACACAGTCAATACAACTTGTTTTTAAGTTGAAACACCTGCAACACAACTCGTCTGTAAATTGAAACACCTGCAATACAACTTACATTTGATGGAAATCCTCATATTATTGTATGGGTCACATTGTGAAAGGGGTCACATTATGAAGGGTCTCATTGTGATGGATCACATCGTTATGGTTTCTGTGATGGGTCACATCATTATGGTCCCATTGTCATGGGTCACATTATGAAGGGTCACATTGTGGAAGGTCACATCATTATGTAGGGTCACATTGTGAAAGGTCACATCATTGTGACAGTCACATCACATAAGGATAGCTGTTTTATGTTATTCATTCTCATGTCTGCACAGTGCTTCTCAACTACAGTACTGTGTATGTCACTGTACATGCAACTGAAACACACTATAATCTTGTATATTTTATTTTGAATCAGTAATGATTGCACATTCCAAGCAGAAATGTGTATATGATTGTTATTATAAACAGTTATCAGTATTGTATATATCATTTATTGATAGAACATGCAGAACAGTCCACATGGTAGTGAATGTATAAGCTGGAGGCCTTTCACATTGCAGCATTTCATCAGGAGCATGCAGTGTCAGAGGTTGACTCGGGTAGTGCAGCAAGCATTGCGATTGTTGTTAGCTGGTTGCATAATGATAGTCATTTGAAGATGCACATTGAAATTATTGGTTGAATTTGTGTAACTGTCTTTGTGTAGGTTTGACTCTGGGCCAGGCTTGTCTGGCCCTGGGCTAGGCTTGTCTAACCCTGGGCCCAGGTTTGTCTGACCGTGGGCCCAGGCTTGTCTGACCCTGTCCTAGGCTTGTCTGGCCCAGAGTTGCACACATACATTAATGCAACCACGAATGAGTGGGTTTAAGCAATTAACAATACTATGACTGGCCAGGAATCGAAGTCCCAATCCTTTAGCACACCTCATGAGAAGCCTACCAAAATTCTGAGATGCCTGAGACCACTGGATTATCAGTGCTTCAAACATCAGGTGCCAAGTACCACTGGACGTTGCTCCTGATAACGGTACGTATGTGACCATGGAAGCTACAGGACTAATTTCATTCTCCTCCAGTAGCTTCCATGGCCATGTGCTGGCATCAGGAGTGACATGTCCAGTGGTACTGGCCACCTAATGTTTGAAATATTGATGGCCCAGTAGACTAAGGCATCTCAGAATTTTGACAGGCGCTCTTGATTCGTTGTGAATGGGAAATGTTGCCTTAAGATATGAGAAAATTGCTGTATGTAGTGTGCACACTATAAAAACATCATGACCTTGTTTGGTTTAAAATAGTGACAGACATGTTTTAGGGAAGTTTTCATGGATTTACTGGCTATTTCTTGGTTGTTTGATAGACCAGAAAATGTACTAGTGAAGTATTAGTGATATTCACAAGTTTTAGACCAGAAGTGACTCAAAATAAGCCTGACTCTTGTAGGTTTAGCAATTTTTTTTATTATAATCAAAAGCCTGAGATTGGTGCAAATATTCGGCTTATAACGACTTTCTTGGAGAAGGGTAGACCCCCAACCACACACTGTCTGTTTTATGGGTTTAATTAGGTCTGCTTCAATTATTGGGACAGCCTTAACCCTGACCAATCATTCCTGGTTATGATGATGGATGGTATATGTAGGTAAAGTGTTAAATAGAAGAGGGCCAGACATGTCATTAATGAACAGAGGGAATGTTGCTATATTGGCTTTGTTGTGATTGAGGGTGAGGACTCTTGTTGTGCTTGGTTATCCAATCCTCTGTATTCACTGAGGAGCTTGGTGCATTCCTTGCTGCTCTTCTGGTATCAGGCAGTCTTGGCTCACTGTGTATTCAGATTCTCATTTTGCTGTGTGTACCCTGACCCAGAGTACTTCTGGCCACTCTCAGGCCCAACAGATCCAGGAGTGGTTAGCACAGCTCCATGCACATTATTATTATAATCAAAAAGAAGCGCTAAGCCACAAGGACTATACAGTGGCTCCATGCACAACACAAAAATGTGGAGTTCTTTTGGTCTCCTGGACCATATTGATATCCTAGGTAATGATCAGACAGATAGACAAAGGCTGCTTTAGCAAGCCTATTCCACACTAGACTTTCCACTACAGTGACTTCATGAGCTATATCCATAGATATGTACTTGCAAGGTGGGGGGCCCGGTGGGCCCTGCAGACTAGCAACAAGTTGTACAGGGCTCAGCAGAAGATGGGTGTTGGGCCCTCCTCCTCCTCCCACAGAAATCATCACTGAGATGAATCTGTCAGTGGAGGATAAGGCATACATCTCAGCCATAGACACCTGCACCTCGAGGAACCTTATAATTACTGAGGTGCCTGTAGGGACTTAGGGGAACATTTAGTATAGTCTTTTGACATTAACAATGTAATGGAGGTTTTTAATTACTACTGCTGCTGGCTACTTTACCTTGGTGTGATATAATTTGTGTTGAGTGTTATCCTGTGCTTTTATTGTCCTTAAATTGTTCATTGCTATGAGTACTGAGTGACTTCTCCTACTGTAACTACACTACTGCAGTTATACTACTATAACTATACTACAACTATACCACTGTAACTGTACTAGTACAACTATACAATTAACTATGCTATAACTATACTATAACTGTACTATGACTATATACTACTACAACTATACCATAACTCCACTACTATATACTATACTACTGAAACTATAACTGTTCTATGACTACTACAATATAAGTATACTGCTATTGACCCACAGTACAGGTGGTGTTAGAACTTATGGCAAGTGAGTGGTGAAGCTCCAGGACCATGGTTTCTTAGTGTGCTGTTACAGTTTCGTGAGTCATACTGTATCATGATACTGTCATGTGTCATACCAACATGTCATGATACTGTTGTGTCATACTGTCATGCATCACGACACACTCAGATGTGTCATATTGCACTATATAACTGTGTATACACTACACTGCAGATTGTTGCTGCAGTACATTACACATACAGTGTTGTGAAGTCCCTCTTGCAGTGTAGGTTGTCTTAAGACTTGTCAAGATGTTAGGCAGGAAAGACTGAAAAAGTCTTGTTTAACCCTTAAACTGTCGAAACGTAGATCTACGTTTTTTCAACATTTTAAAGTATGTAAAAAAAGTAATCTTCTTTTTGTTTTTTTACATTTGAAAATGTGTAAAAAAAAACTTTGATCCATTTTTTTTTTTGTTATATTTGAAAATATGTAAAAAAATGTAGATCTACTTTTGGAGCACTACGCATGTGAACATAGATCTGTTTGGACAGTTTAAGGGTTAAGCAACGACTTCATTCCAGTCTTATTAGTTACTTAAGATGCAAATCAATAAAGGGATTTGTTTGTTTGTTGTGTTTATCTTTGTATCCTTGTTTGTGCATGTTGTACCGGTACACACGGTACAGTGCACTAGTACACATGGTGGTAGTATACTGGTATACACAGTAGTGAACTGGTACACACAGTGTACTGGTATGGTACAGTGTACTGGTATACATGGTACAGTGCACCAATACACATGGTAGAGTACTGGTACACATGGTTGTGTACTTGTACACATTGTACAGTGTGTACTGGTACACATGGTACAGTGTACTGGTACATGGTGTACTGGTACACATGGCACAGTGTACTGGTACACATGGTTGTGTACTGGTACACATGGCACAGTGTACTGGTACACATGGTTGTGTACTTGTACACATGGTAGTGTACTTCTACACATTGTACAGTGTGTACTGGTACACATGGTACAGTGTACTGGTACATGGTGTACTGGTACACATGGCACAGTGTACTGGTACACATGGTACAGTGTGCTGGTACACACGGTAGTGTACTGGTACACATGGTACAGTGTACTGGTATGCAAAGTACAGTATACTGGTACACACAGTACAGTACACATGGTACAGTGTGCTAGTACACATGGTAGTGTACTGGTACAGTGTACTGCTACACACAGTACAGTGTACTAGTACACATGGTATACTGGTATACATGGTAGTGTAACAGTACAGTGTACTGGTACATATGGTACAGTATACTGGTACACAGTACAGTGTCTGCTACAGAAGGTACAGTGTACTGTGACAGAAGGTACAGTGTAATGGTACACATGGTACAGTGCACTGGTACATATGGTACAGTGTACTGGTACACAGTACTGGTACACATGGTACACAGTACTGGTACACATGGTACAGTGTACTGATACACATAGTACAATGTACTTGTACACATGGTATAGTGTGCTGGTACAAGTACAGTGTACTGGCACACATGGTACAGTGTACTGGTACACAGTACAGTGTGTGTACTGAGACATGGTTAACAGCTCGCTAAATGCTGAATCATATTGGGACTCCAGTATCTCACTCATTTCTTTGTTGTTTAAGGAGAGGGAGCATTGACATGGGTCATCACACAGTCACTAAAAACAACAGACATAGCCCCACTCTACAAAGGTGGCAGTAAAGCAATTGTAAAGAATTACAGACTGATAGCACTAATGTCCCACATAAAAATCTTTGAAAGAGTTCTAAGAAACGAGACTGACATCCACTTAGGTACCCATCAGTTACACAATCCAGGGCAACATGGGTTTAGAGCAGGTCACTCCTGCCTGTCCCAACTACTGGACCACTATGACATGGTCTGGGATGCTATGGAGAACAAACACAATGCGGATGTAGTATACAGTGACTTTGTGAAAGCCTTCGACAAGTGCGATCATGGTGTAATAGCACACCAAATGCATGATAAATGAATATCAAGAAATGTTAGTAGATGGATCTATAACTTCTTAACAAATAGAACACAAAGAGTAAAGTCTGAGGCAGCTACAGTAAAAAGTTCTGTTCGATAAGGCACAGTACTCGCTCCCATCCTGTTCCTCATACAGTGGAGCCTCTGGTCACGAACATAATTTGTTCCAAAACTAGTCGTGACCCAAACCTAATTTCCCCATTGGATTGTATGTAAATACGATTAATTCGTTCCAGACCCCTATGAACTGTATGTAAAAATATTGTTTAAGATTTTTAAGCACAAACATATTAGTTAATTATACCATAGAATGCACAGTGTAATAGTAAACTAAATGTAAAAACTTTGAATAACACTGAGAAAACCTTGAATGACAGAGAAAACTTACATTGCACGAGTCCGTTCTAGACCCCTACGAACCGTTTGCTGTAAACTTTTTTTTTTTTTAGTTTTAAGAGACATCTAATGGCTGAGAAGTGAATTCTGTTATTTATCATCCAATTTCTTTCATTTTTGCTGTACGTTAAGAAGCATCTTTCCATCATACATTTGCCCAAGTTTCAATAAGATAGCCCAACAAACTGAGAAAAAAAAAAATTTACCAAGAATCATATATGGCAAGCCTTAGCTGGGTACTGGCACTGTGAGAAGGTGTTTGTGCACTACCTGCTGATAAAACATTGCTAATCTGAATTTATCACGGTTGTAATTACTGTAATTTATGAATAACTTCCGAGATAATCGACGAAAACAAGCACACACTGAAAAAAAAAATTGAGAAAATCACTGTCTGACTATTTTGGGTTATCCCAGGTTCTCTACACACATGCTGCTATGTATGATAATCTATGTAACTGTATTTGTGTATACCTGAGTAAACTTACTTAGTTTTATGGTGCATTACGAGTGTATATCACAGCACTGTACTACACTATGTTTTCCAGAAGGGGGTAAGAGGATGGTACTTTATCCCTTATCCTCAAGTTCACAGCGAATGAACACACATCTGACCGAGACCAACTACAAGGCAAGGGTCTCTGTTAGGTGTACATAAACAAGAAGAAGTGGGGAAAATTGGCATGTGCAAAAAAAAAAAAAATGGCGCAGAATGTGAAAATTGGCGCAGCTGTGTTTAATCAGCACCCGACTATGTGTTCGTGACCAGATGCAAAAATTTGGCGAATTTTTTAGTCGTGAACCAATTTGTTAGTGTTCAGAAGCGCTTGTGACCAGAGGTTCCACTGTATCTATCTGACAGAGATGTGAGCCACAGCACCGTGTGTTTGTGACCAGAGGTTCCACTGTATCTATCTGACAGAGATGTAAGTTACAGCACCATGTGCTCCTTTGCTGATGATACTCAAATTTGTATTGCATTTTCATCCATCAAAGACACTGCAAGTCTCCAAGCAGACATCAACCAAATATTTAAATGGGCCGCAGAAGACAGCACGAAGTTCAATGAAGAGAAATTTCGACATGGAAAACATGAGGAAATTAGAACTGTATTGGAGTACAAAAAAAATTCTAAACACAACAACAGTGAAAAACTATTGTGAAGGACCTAGGAGTGATAATGTCAGAGGATCTCACTTTCAAAGATAGCAACAATGTATCTACCTTATCTGCTAGGAAAATGATATGATGAATAATGGGAACCTTCAGGACTATGGATGCCAAGCCCATGATGATTCTTTTTAAATTTCTTGTTCTCTCTAGGTTGGAATATTGCTGTACACTAACAGCCCCTTTCAAGGCAGGAAAAATTGCAGACCTGGAAAATATACAGAGAACTTTCACTGCATGTACATGTATAAGATAAAGCACCTAAATTACTGGGAACAGTTGAAGTCCCTTGATTTGTATTCCCTGAAATGCAGGCAACAAAGGTACATAATATACACTTGGAAAATTCTAGAGACAAGTCACAAATCTTCACACAAATATCACTCCTCAAGAAATCTGCCGCAAAAGACTCAGCAGGCAACGCAACATCCTCCAATGAAGATCAGGGGTGCCACGAATACGCTAAGGGAAAACACAATAAATACCTGGGGCCCAAGACTGTTCAACTGCCTCTCAGCATACATAAGGAGGATTACCAATAGACCCCTGGCTGTCTTCAAGGTGCTGGACAGGCACCTAAAGTCAGTCAGTACCTGACCAGCTGGGCTGTGGTTCCTACATCGGTTTGCGTGAGGCCAGCAGTAACAGCCTCGTTGATCAGTCCCTGATCCACCACGAGGCCTGATCACGGATTGGGCCAAAACACCCTCTGAGTATACATAGATCTACGGCACTGACCCAGAGCTCAAATCCATAGTACATACTACGGCACTGATCTTGAAAGGATTAGAAAAACAATTTAACTCGGTGGTGGATCATTCTTATCTTTTAATAGTTAATCTTATAGAATGGTTTTTATTTTTTAATAGTCTTAAACAAAGAATGATAACTTTATTCATTGTAGTGATAGCCTGTACCTTAATCTTAAATATTTAATTTACTTTAATTACTAAATGATTCATAAACTGATTAATTTAGTTCCTGAAATTGTTTTGCTATTTTAGTTATTAAATGACTTAAAACAGCTGCTGAAAATATCCTAGACATATTTATTTTCCCTAGAGTAATCTTTGAATACTTAAATTTAGTTTGGTAAGTTATTAATGCCAACTCAAAGTCCTCAATCTGAAGACAACTTAAGTCTCTCAGATGACTATTAATGTTCCGTCTCCTGTAGTAAACAGGAGCTTATCCCTGATTAATAAACTTAAAGTTGGTATTGTAATATACACGGACAGATATACACCTATCAGTGTAAATACACTGAGATACACACCTCAGTATATGTACACTGATTTACACCTCTCAGTGTATATACACTGACAGACACAGTGCTGACTAGTTATTACTGACAGTGTTGACTAGTTGATGCTGACTAGTGTTTACTAGTCAATGATGGCAGCATTGACTAGTCATGACACGAAGAAAATGCTGAAGACTGAAGCTATGCAGAATTACCAACCTTTTACAAAATTCAAGCCAAAGTCGTCCAAGTTATGGAAAGACTTATTTTATCACACACACCAAATGTTACACTTCACAAGTAACCCACACTTCCCAGGCAAGATTTCAAACAAGGTTCTGGCTCACTCCAGAGGTCCAGACAAACCAGAGCATCATCATAGGCTGTGGTCCAGATGGACCAGAGCATTATCTTACGCCCTGGTCCAGAGGAACTAGATCATCTCTAGGCGTGCAGCCACGACATTCACACTCCTCACTTCTATACTGTGAAACCCGTAGCCACGACATTCACACTCCTCACTTCTATACTGTGAAAGCCGCAGCCACGACATTCACACTCCTCACTTCTATACTGTGAAACCCGCAGCCATAACATTCACACTCCTCGCTTCTATACTGTGAAACCCGCAGCCACAACATTCACACTCCTCACTTCTATACTGTGAAAGCCGCAGCCACGACATTCACACTCCTCACTTCTATACTGTGAAACCTGCAGCCATGACATTCACACTCCTCACTTCTATACTGTGAAACCCGCAGCCACGA